CCATGGCTTTCTTAGTCATTATTCTCAACACTTATCCAATCCATAAAAACCGATAATTTTTCAGCCGCGCTCCTCGTGATCGCTGCCCCCACCTATGTCCAGGTAAGCTACATGAAAATATGATAACATGGGGCCCTTTTTCCACTCCCCCACAGCCGCAACTATTAAACACTACCACCCTCTGACTTCCCTAACGCATAATCTAGCGAGGACCGGGGGCACTACTCCGTGGGAATGGGAGGCGCCTGCGATGGGGCTCACAATTACTTCAAAATCAGATCCCAGAAGAGTTAGCCATGGCTATATGGAGTTAGCATATGGCACTTTTTTGCGATTCCGAGACAAAGTAAGGTTAAAATCTTCTCTGAACGTACTAGCGCCTGATGATTCTCGCCAGATAGTTCGGGTTACAGGCCGTCTATTAATCGCAAAGATCCCACTCAAACACCCAACCCCGGTCCATAGCGGCAACCTACCTGGTGGACCCCGCTGCGTTTTACCCTTTGGTCGTACTCTAATGATATCCTCGGCGCAAGTCCTTTTGCCGAGGATATCTGCAATTCTTAACCGGCATGACAACAGTTTTATCCTCAGTCATATTGCTAAACTACCTTCGGAAAGCCGTCTCTACCTCCCCTTTTTTCACAAAATGTGCGCACTCCCGTAACCACGCGACAACTTCATGCCCGCCTCAACTGATCCCCCATCAGCCCAGAGTGTCAGGCAGTGGTATGAGCCCCTCAATATCCATATTTTTCAGCGGAACCGGACGCGCCCTACGTTGTCGGCTAGGCTGTGAAAACAGGAATATTCGAGGTAGTTACTATTTTCCAACGAGGCCCCGCACGAGCCGCGAGGCGTAGCACAACCTTTTTAGCACTTTTAGCTTCTTGCTTTTGAAAGTGTTAGTTGACAATTAATTGGAGCTAAAGAGAGATCTACTAAATCGCCAAGTTCCTGGCTACCCACAGCTGCATTTCCGTACTCTCATGATTCGTGCAGGGTACTTTGGACGCCGTCGTTTTGGCGTGGTATGATTTCCGTAACTTCGGCACGTCTTCCACCAACACCCACCCCAAGCGCCAATGACTTACACCTTCCCCTTCCGGTTGATCCTCCACGACACCCGGCGAGGTGATTCGCGTGAACGGCTAATCCTCGGCAAAGGGATTACTGTGTGATACCATTGGAGGACTGATCTTAAGTACTCCGACGTCCGACCGCTATGTCCAGTGAAGACCAAACGGGGCCTGTTTTTCTTGGTTTAATTCCCAGTTTAAATCAGTTCTCCTATCCTCATTCTCCACTTACCTATATTATCGTCGCTCCTTACTTTCTTTATTTCTATCCCCTCTTTTTAATATTCTTCTTATACCAGATATCTTTTTGACCTCTTATATACAATACTATTTTTAGTTATATCGTATAGTTAGCCTGCTGAATCTACGCACACACTTTGTTGAAACACTCCGGGGGGTACTCTAAAGCCTCTAAACTCTTCAGAAATCTGGCCTCCTATCTAAGGAGCGGAAGTAATATCCCTATCATAAGATCCCATTGCTGGGTCTACAAGGCACCCTCTAAAACCCCCGGGGGTCAACACCAAACTGTTTTCGAATAAATGGTAATGCTAAAGGTAATACGAAGAATCGATACTACGCTGAATGGGAGAGAGGTTGTAAATGAGCCAGACGATATATCCGGTTTGTCTCGCACTAAAGCAAAGGTTTGGAGGACCTCAGGGAAGTGTTATTGAAAGAACGATGGCATATGGGTTCGAAGCCAGATGTGGAACAAATTACAAGCAGGAATTTGGAAGTGTGGCAGGGATCGAATGGCACCGGGGGGATTGAGTGTTCCTATATGTAATTCATTAGCCGGCCAGGCCAGTGATAGAGAGCCCATAAAAATAACGAGGGAATTAGGCAGTTATAGAATTTAATCCCTATAAGAATAGAAGCGCCCAAACTGGGCTTTGTACAGCCATTTTATAGACAAAAGATCCACCCCCGGGCCCGATTTGTGCTCTATGCATCCATTCTGTGGAGTTATCTCGAGTTTGGTAGACTCTGTGGGATTCCCGCACTTGCCCCACCCTCTGAGCGATCAGCAGGTTGATGAAAGGCCCGATAAACACATAGTTCCTCTTTCCCATTCGTCACTCATCTAGGACTCATCACACTATTATTCACGCACTTCAGGGCACCCTGTGCAGCATTTTATTTGACGGACCCCACCACCTCACATTCTAATGCCTTAGCCTCCTCAGATCCCCTCCTACCGCCGGGCAGATGGAGCTACGAATCCAGATTCCTACCAGAATTACGTGGTTAACAGGATTGTGGATATGTAGCAAATTGGGATGATCGATAAAATGCAGGGTGAGCATCATCCTACTTAAGCGGTATAAACCCTGCGATCTACCTGCCATGTTCCCGGTGGATCACTCGGCAGTCTCAGCCACCCCCGATGTGATACCGGTGGTCGAAAGGATGCTGCAAAAGAATACTTGTCTGGAGTACAGAGTACGCACAAACAGTTCTGACCGCAGGCTAGAATGAAGAGTACCTCCTATCTATTCATCCGATACTGTAAATTAAGATCCCGTGAAAATACACCATCCCTAACGTCATGTTTCCTCCCGACTCAAAGATAAAGGCTCTCAAAATGGATTATCTTTTTACCGACAACGTTCATTACAAGTATACGAACGAAGGGACCCTCCTGTTTATTATTCGTTTACCCATTCCGTTTTTAAATCTGGCCACGACTTTGCCTGAAAATCATCCTGTTTTCTTGGGGGCTCTAGATCAGTTATTGGCTAAGCTAGCCTCGGGACTGGTCTCCTCCCATCCCGATCCCCCGGCAGCGAGATCCCTCACTACCTGGCTGTGATGCCATGAGCGGAGGCTGTCCCGGCATGATCCCGGAATCGCGATTTGAGACAAGTTCCGATGCCGTGAGCAGGGTTTAATCCGCAATTTCATATCACAAAAAACGCGGTTCGAAATCATAATGATGTTAGGCCAAATGAACCCCGAGTTTTTCCAGTATCTGAACTGCAATATCAAACCGCTAATGCTAATATTCGGAAAGTTACCAAATGTTGCAACTTTTGCACACTACAGTTGGCCAGCGAATTGGTAGGCTGCGCTCCCTACATCCCTCCACCATGCTGAGCAGTACGCCTGCGCTGGGATGATTGAGCCCCACTCTATGTCACCCAAAACACACACTCTCTCTCTTAGAAAGAGTAAAGCCTCGGGAGATCCACTATCCCTCTAAACGTCACCCCACCATGGATTTAACTTAGCGGATCAACAGAATTGCGAAAACATGATAGCAAGATCCAACAGACCCAGTGGGATGACCTTATAATATATTAGGAAGATAATAATCCTTCCGGTGGGCTGAGTTAGAAAGTATATTTCACAAATGTTTACTTCAGGGGGGGGGGGCAGAACTGTGAGAAAACTAGTCTGCAAAAAACTACTCCCTTCACCTGTACCTTATTTTAAGAGAAAAAATGATATACCCTCCTACCGCACACGGTACTTGAGTAAACTCCCCAAACCCGCCGTGCAGCTCAGACGCTAGTGCCTGGGTATGTGGCCGATCGGGGTGCGATGATCAATGAGCCCCCTTGTGGGAAGCAGCACTCACTACCTGCTTCTATGATCAAACAGGGATTAGGCGGATAGGTGGAAAAAATTCGCGTTACTTGCCGCACCACCGCCAGCACGTCGGCCTTACCTGCATGGTGAGTTTCGCGAGTTTTGACGGGCACTGGTGCTGGGGTAGGAGCACTGGTACTGGACAGGACTCATATACAGCGCGCAGCCCCTGGCCCAATTATTCCCCAAAGGCCTTATATAAAGGCCGGGGGATTTTCTCCGGAAGAGGCTACCCTGAAAAATAGTTCCCCGCCAGCATGCACGCCGGCGCAAGCTTAGTCGTTTTCAGAAAATCCCCGCGGTAGTATTATTGGTGCATTGCCGGAGTAATGTGTCTCTTTTCCCTGTTTTATGATCCAACTTTGGTCGAGGAATGCTCCTGCCAGGTTCTCCCCTTGAACATCGGGTAACCCTCTATGAGGAAAAGAAACCGGTGAGGGCCATGGATTCTTCTAATTTTCAGGAGGGGCCAACAACTCTATCTGTGTACCGTAACTTTCCGGTATCATTTGCTGGGTTCGAATTTGCACCCTCAGAAGCTCTAGCTGAGGGTACAAGCACTGTACCGCTGTTCCAAAATGCGTAGTTATTGTACGAGTAGAGTGTAGCAAAACGGCCCGCAGTCACGGGATGTTATCGTCTCATGGAGGAGTACGCAATAGTATAACATAATAAGCCATGTATGATACCAATGCTGAGTTGTGATACTATCCAGAATGTGACCGAAATCTAACCACTTATACCGGTACTTCCTCAGCTTAGGCCATTGATGGGGTTACATCCAGCCCTGTTTGCTTTTTCTTGGGCTTTTCCTCAGGTCCGTCGCTCTGGTGACGCCTCCGAGTAAACCCCGGCCCCCTCGCAGAGCCAGGACGCAGTCGCCCTAATACCCATACTGTTATCTTAAACCAAGCTTTTTTCCCCAGCGAATTCGAATCCCCCTAGCTAGGATCCCACCCTATAGGTGCCTCAGAACTACAGAATTAATCGCCCCATATTCAGGGTAAGATCACCGGGCACTTGTTCTACCGTATCTTGCTTTATACTGACTTGCTCCAGGGGCTGCGAAAAGCTTTTGAATTAATATGAAATTCCGGATCCGTAACAGAGGTAGGCCGGGCAGTGCTCGTAGTTTTCCTACTTCTGACAACATATACACAAATGTCCAGTTCAATGTTGCTCACCCCGGAACACCAAATCAAGAGGGTCGGTTTAGAGTTGGGAACCAAGGTACCGCCAGCGTTCCCGAGAGCTTTGGGTCAAAGAACTAACGCGCTATTGCGAGTGGAAGGAGCACCGCGGCCTTACCGAATAATTCCGTATTGCAGGAACAGCAAATTCACTAGCCGTCAAGATCTCATTGAGTCAGTAAAGAAGCTTGCCCACCCCAGTAATCACAACCGGATTGCACTTCATGGACTAGGCGGTTCTGGGTATGTATCAATTAATTTTGGATATAAAAGTTTTACTAACACTGCTCAGGAAAACTCAGATCGCCCTAGAATATGTTTATCGGCGCCAGAGCGAGAGCGACCGTCATGTTTTCTGGGTGCAGGGAAGTGGGATATTAGGATTTAGAGACGACTTCTGGGCCATTGCGCGACGTGTTCGAATTTCTCTGACCAACGGCGAGGCAGACGAAGAGGAATTACTGTTGAGTGTAAAGAGGTGGTTTGAGGGTCCAGACAGTGCCGATTGGATTTTGGTGATTGACGGCGCCGACAACGAGGAGGACTTTGTTGGCAATAACAGTGCCATCGCGAAGTTCGTGCCACAAGGCCCTAGGGGTACTATAATATTCACGACAAGATCGCTCCCGGTTGCACTTCGCCAGGAGTGCGAGGTAGTCAATATCGGGAAGATGGAGGAGGAGGAAGCCCAAGAATTATTTTCGAAACACTTTGGTAGCTGGGGAAGTTCGAGTGATGGGGAAAGGGAGGCCGTTGCGAAGATCCTAGGTTCGGTGAATTACCTGCCGCTGGGTATCGTAGGTTTAGCCGCTTTCATGGTCGAGACCAATACCACACCCTCTGACTACTGGAAAATTTCCCGGGAGAATGAAAAGCGAATGGATACGCTACTCTCGCAGAAGTTCATCAATATCCGGCCAGATGGTGATTTGACAAAAAGCATTTTAAGCACGTACTTTATTACCTTTGACCGAATTGGGGAACAAATACCGAGAGCGTGGGATCTCCTGCGGCTAATTTCCTTCCTTGATCGTCGAAATATCCCCGAGCAGCTCCTGCGAGAATCTGGAATTGAAGGGATGGACGATTCGATCATATTTCGTCGGACAATTGTGAAACTATCGGGATTCTCATTGGTTACAACTTTCACACGGGATGACAAGATATTCTATGAGCTTCCTCACTTAATCCAGCTTTCAGTACAAGCCTATTTATCACAAGAAGAGTCGGCGGAATGGAGTACCACTGCCCTAAAAGTCATTTCACGAGTGTTTCCCAAATGTGAGCACAAGGTGCGGGGTAGTTGCGAGGCGTACCTCCCTCATGCGCTGGCTGTAACGAGGGGTAGAACGGATGTTACTGCTGAAGACCTCTGTTTCCGCATGGGGGAGTGTTTTCTATATTTGGGTTCCTACAGCAATGCAGAAGCGCAAGTTCGTCACTGCATCAGACTTCGCGAGGAGAATGACGAGCAGGGCTGGGATATGGGTCATAGGAGATTAATGCTCCTGGGGAGGGTGAGCGCACATCAAGGAAGGGCAAAGGAAGCACAGAAGATACTTCGGAATGTGCTGGAGGACCTTGAGCGGCTATCGGGTTCAAATACCCCGGACTACTTGGACTGCTTATCCTACCTGGCAGGTGTGATGAGCGATCTCGGAGAGTATGGCGAATCAGAAACGATGCATCGGCGCGTCCTGGAGGGGCGTGAGAAGATTCTCGGGCCAGACCACTCGGACACAATAACAAGTGCCAACAACCTGGAATTTGTGCTGCGACGCCAGCGAAAACCCGGGGAATCAGAGAAGATGGATCGGCGTTTACTCGAGCTGCCCGACCAGGTTCCCGGACCAGACCACCCAGACACCCTACCGGTAGTTAGTGTCGACAACCCGGCCACGGCACGGCAATCACAAGTAAAGGATGAGGAATCACAGGCGGTGAGGCGGGATGCACAGGGGGGCCCACAAAAGCCCCAGACCAGGCACTGCTCTATTTTTCATGCTGTCTGGTCCTTTGTTTTTGGACCACGGCAGCCCCCGGCAAGGGCGGTGGACTGAGAGAGTGACTCGAGGCCTACCGCCGCCGGCAGAAGCATGGACCAGATGTGGTAGGAGTGGGCTAACGTTTTTCAACGCCGTGGGAGGCTCCGGGGATCTACCAGAAACAATACGTGAATGTGTGGAACTAGCAAGAATGATGAACGAGAGGCGGTGGCCAGCTGTTGAAGTATTTTTTTATATGCCCAAGGGATGCTATTGCACGGAGGAAGTGTTGGGAATTTTTACCCTCCTTCTACATTTCATTTCCTATCGTTTCTTGTCCCTCTTAGTGGTGTATTTTTTTTATTTTTCGTAGCGAATATTGTCGTCTGCCTTTTCACCCCTCAATATCCTCGTGCCACTTTCTTGTGATCCTTCAAGGCTGCCGGTGTGAAGGAAAAATCTGTGTTACCCAGCAGCCTCCCATGCACTACCTTAGGATAGCTATCCTAGCGAGTTCCTGCACCGCCACTACATTCCAAGATCTTAAAAGAGCATAGTATGACTGTACACCTGTTGTATCCCCCCCCCCTCTTCAGCCAAAGGCCTGGGGCCAGATCCTCCCATTGACCCGACAGGCTCAGTCGCAATCTGTTCACTTCCTGCCCTTTGGGCTGCCCGACTTCCCCCCTGCAAGCACCGTAGACCACCCCAAGACCGTAACAGATGTCTATTGCCCGGCCATGGCGCTGGGCTACCAAGCAAAGCGCGAAGGGCCACAGCCAACGCGTCCCCCGCAGCGGGCGGGCACGGGAAGATTCTCGGTCCCTATCATGACAGAACCTATTAGCAGTTAGAAACCCAGACGTCCTGCTGTGGAGGAAATGGAATTAGGTTGGGTCGAAATCTCATCCCCGGTAGTGCGCCATCCGGCATTGAGAAAGCCGCAGACACAAGCCACCCTACCACCTACATTTCGCGAAACTGGTCAGGACTTGGCTTTCACCCGGGAGTCCCAGGCTCCCCCTAGAGCCGGCCTGGCAGGACTGCAAACACCCCCTGCTTCCGAATGACCGGGGAGGACTACCATAATTTCAGGCGATTCCAGGATGCCGGAAACCGCGATACGCTGCTCGGCATGGCCTCACAATAGCTTGTCTGTCTGTTCGCATAGCCCCTGGGAGCGCGCTTTGGTTTCGGGCGCACTTGGCTCCCGCCCGCGCGATTTAGCTATTCGGGAAAGCACTTCGGCCGCGGGAATGCGCGGGAGTCTTGGAGCAATGCATCTGCCGGAAGGAAGGCGGGAAAGGTTAGAAGGAAAGCGGAATGGCCATAAGGGAGGACGGAGGCTATGGGCAGCGGGAGCTTATATTTCCTTGGTTAGCTTTTATTTGCGAGTGAGAGGGAGACATACCCGAAAGGACAGGACTTAGTTGGTTGTTTTTTTGTTGATATGTGCTCCTGTTATTACCGTTAGTTAGTTGAGTGCGATAGCGAGAGTAGGTAAACTCCCCGCTCGCGAGTTGTGCGATCCTTGTCATGTGGGATCTTGGCGTTTCGTTTCGTGGCATTCGTTGTGCGCCATTGGTTGCGCCATTTGGCTGTTCACCCATTTTCGTTAGTTTCACAGGGCGTCATTCGTTCGTTCATTCGTTCCTTTCGCAGTTGCTGTAGCTTTCGCCGATCCGACGTTTAAATCAGAAAATGTATACATTGACACAGATTCACTAGAGCGCTAGTAGATGCGTCAATAGTTTCTGCACGTAGGTGTCCACAATAGGTGATATGTTATCTTTGCCATGATTCCTTATGGGGGTTGGGGTTGAACGACCCCGGGATGCAGATCCCGGCACAGATCCAGAGAGTAAGCTCCCGTGCTCGCCTAAATATCCGTAACCAGCCAGGTGGTCAGGGTAAAAAAGGAGAGAAATGGCTTGCGATTCGGAGCTGTTGGTGTGGAAAATTCGAGGATTGTTTATGGTATGATATCCAAGGAAATGGAAAACGGCTTGATAATCATATAACACGGTAATTGTTAACTTGAGAGAAATCTGTGTACCATCCTATTAAAAGACATGTCGGGTATTTTCAAATTAAGCAGCATCCACACACTTCCGGCTCTCTGAAATTGTTAGAAATGCTACTTTATTTTCTCTCTGTGTCTAAGTTAGGCTCAGGTATTATATGAGATTGGCAAATGTTTAGAAATATTTGCTGACATCGGTTAGTATTAAAAGATATGTGTCCGCCTCTTCGGATATCTACTACCGTTCTACAAAAGATATCCCCAGCCGCACGGCCATAAGCCAACCTGTATGGGGGCCATCTACACTGACGATACGAATTACCGTCGACAAGCCTTTTCCTGCACTCTAGCTCTGGGGAAAGCGTCCTGGGATGTGGGGGGTATGATACGCTGGCGTGCACTAGCAGGCTGCAAGAAGGTAGTTGTGGTGCTGTTTAGCTCATATCTGCTCATCTGCTCTAGCCAAAGAAACCCCTACCCTGATGCCTGAGAAAAGCACTATGTTTTTCCGCATGGTTTTCTTAGTCAGCATCCACACAATCGTATCCAACCCATGTCAGTAACCGAGAGCTCCTGGCCACCGCTATGTCCGGGTAAGCTGCTTGGAAATAGCATCGCGCCCTTTTTCCCCTCCCCTGAAGCCACAATAAACCGCCCACCCCTACTCGAGTAACTTCAATACCGCGCGATCTGGCAAGAACCGGCTGCCACTTTCACGTTGAAACCAGAAGATGAAATTTACAATTGTGTCGAAACCAGAGCCCCGAAAGAGTTAGTCCTGGCTGCAGGGAGTTAGGAACCGGCATTTTATTGCGATTTCGAAATAAGGTAAGACCAAAATCCCTTCTGAACGTACTAGCGCCTGAAGGTCCTCGCCAGATAATCTGACTACTAGATCGTCTATCCACCACGAACATCCTATGCTAACCTAACCTCGGACCATGGCCGGAATGTACCTGGAGGACCTGGCTCCATTTTACGCCTCGGTCACACCCTGATAATACCCCCGGCATGAGTCCCTTTATTCCTGCAATTCTTAACTGACGTTACAACGGTCCTATTCTCGGCCATATTGCTAAGATACCCCTGGAAAGGCACCATCACTTCGCGCATTTTCGTAACCACCCGACACCGTCATGCCCGCCCCAACTGATTTTGCGCCGGCCCCCCAGTGCCCAACCCTTTCAGCAGGATCAGACGCGTTTGCTAGGCTGTGAAAATCAGAACCTTCAAAATCACCGCTATTTTCCGCCGAGGGCCCGCCCAGGTCGCGCGGTTTGGCACTGCCTTTTTGGCACCTTCAGCTTCCCTTGCTTTTGTGCGTGCCGGTGGACAATTAATTAGAGCTAAAGAGACATGCACTAGATTGCCAAGTTCCTGGATACTCACTGTTGCATTTCTCTAATAATTGGTGCAGGGTTCTTTGGGCGCTGGGGTTCTGGCGGGAGGATTCTATCGATTTCCGTGTGCTTTCCCCGGTACTCTTCCCAAGCAACAACGACTCATGCCCAAGAACTATACCAACACCTTCCTCCCCGGCTTGATCCTCTGCCACATCCATGGCGGTGATTCGGGTGAATGGCTAATCCCTAGGCAATAAGAGTATTGCGTGGTGCAATATGGAGGACAGATCTCAAGTACTCTAGAAGTCCGACCGCTATCTCTGGTGAAGAACGGAAGAGACCTGTTTTTCTTGGTTCAGTTTTTAGTGTAAATTAGTTCGCTTAATTTCATTCTCTACTCACTTATATTATCATCGCTCTTTTCTTTCTTTATCCCTCTCTCCTCTCTTTGAGATTCCTATACCAAACATCCCTTCGCATTCTCGTGTACCAAAATATCTTTAGCCATATCGTCCAGTCAACATGCCGGATTGCTGTGCTCCAAGCTGGTTGAAAAGTCCTCCAGGGGGCGCTGTACCGGCTTTTTGTACGCTTGGCCAGCGGGGGCGTAGGCTGCGTGCACTACGGTACACCTTTGGCCCTGCTGCGTGGTAAAGCCTGCACTAGGATGATTGGGCCCCATGCTACAGTACCTGTATGTCCCCCAAAATGCGCACTCTCTCCTAGACAGAGTGAAAACCCTCCTAGAGCATCATCGTCCCATTATGGGTTTAGTTTCGCGAGTTAACAGAATTGCGAATACATGTTAGCGAGCTCCAACCGAGCCAGTGAGACGACCTTATACCATATTAGGAAGATGCTAACACTTCCGGTGGGCTGGGGGAGGAAGTAGCTTCACGAGATTTTGCTGCGGGGGGGCCGGAAATGCGAGAAAACTACGGTAACCAGCGAAAAGTGTTCCCACCACCTTCGCCCGATCACACGAGAAAGAAAAAAAAATACCTCCTCCCACAGCGCCCCACCTGGCACCCGAGCGAACTCACCAAACTCTCGGTGCATCTCAGACGCTAGTGCTCAGGTATGTGGCCAACCGGGGCGCTGTGATCAATGAACCCCACCCTGTGAAGCCTCTCACTGCGTGCTTCTGTGATCACACAGGGCTTGGCGGACCAGTGGAAACAATCTCGCTGTACCTGAGGTGCGGAAAGAAGTTATAGAACAGTTATTTGAGGTTAACCAGGCAAATACATCCTTGTCTGTTCCGGTTAATTGGTTCCTACCCTTGTACTCGTACAAGTATGAGTACGCAAGTATAACTTAACCAGCCGTGTACCAAATGTGAGATGTGATACCATCAAGAATGCGACCGGGACCCAACCAGTTATATTTCCCCAACTTTGAGCCAGCGACTCTGTTAAATCCCGTCCTATTTGTTTTTTTTGGAACTTTTCCTCAGCCTCGTCTCCGTGTCCAGACTTCTGATTTCTGAAGAGTAAATTTCAACCCCCCCACAGAACCGAGACGCCGTCGCTCTAATACCCGCACCGTTCTTTTATCTCAAGTCTCTACGGTAGTCTTTACTGAGTTCGAAGTTTCCCTTGCTAGGATTTTACCCTATAGCTTCCTCAGAACTGCTGAATTAACCCCCTCCATATCCGAGGTAGGGTCCGAGTGCGCTCGTTCCGAGTTTACTTCATCTCGTGTTATACTGACTTGTTTTAGTGCTCGCGAAACGATTTTGGATTCCCTCGATAGGTGACAGATACGCTACATTGCCGATTCCAGTTAGGCTAGCGACATCTTATAGTATTACACTACACCCGACCTCCCGAATCTGCTCTGCGGTGAACTACATACTTGATGGCTCAGTGGGTTCTCGTTCCCTTCAAGGCCCGGGATTTCAATGCTGACGGGCACTTGCCTTTTAATCTCCCCAGAAAATCCCAATCCCATAACAAGGGGAACTTCAGCGCGAATGAGGGGAGTGGTAGTGTTTATGGCAGCTATATTAGCAAAATAAACACGGGTCCAACCACGGGTACCCAGGTCAATATCACCCTTCCTGGAGCACTAGATCAACGTCCTGAGCCTAGAGCTGGGAACCAAGGTATCACCAGCATTCCCAAGAACTTTCCGGCCAAGAACCCACATGCTAACTTAAGTGGAATAAGCACCTCGGCCTTACAGGGTTATTCCCTATCGCAGAAATAACAAGTTCACCGGCCGTGAAAATCTTATTGAGTCGGTAAAGAGGCTCGCCCATAGAGATGGCCACAATCGGATTGCACTTCATGGACTAGGTGGCTCTGGGTATGTGTTTATCGATTTGTAATAAGAAAGCTTTACTAACATTGCGTAGAAAAACACAGATTGCCCTCGAATATGTTTTCCAGCGCGGGAGCGAGAGCGACTGTCATGTTTTCTGGGTGCAGGGAAGTGGGATCTCGAAATTCAGCGATGGCTTCAGGGCTATTGCGCAGCATGTCGGGATTCCTAGGGCCAGCGGCGAGACAGATGAGGAGAATTTACTATGGAGCGTAAAGAGGTGGTTTGAATACCCGGATAGTGGTAATTGGATTCTGGTCATTGACAACGCCGACAACGAGGAGGATTTTGTTGGAAACAGCGGTCCCATCGCCAAGTTCGTGCCAGAGGGCCCTGGAGGTACTCTAATATTCACGACAAGATCTCGCCAGATTGCCGTTGAGCAGGAGTGCGAGAGGATCAATGTCGGGAAGATGGAGAAGGAGGAAGCCCAAGTGTTATTTTCCAAACACTTTGGTAGCTGGCGCAGGTTGAAAGATGGGGAAGAAGAGGTTGTTGCAGCCATCCTAGGTTCGGTTTATCACTTGCCGCTGGCTGTCGTAGGTTCTGCGGCTTTCATGGTCCAGACCGAAACAACACCCTTCCGGTACTGGACAATTTTCCAGGAGAACGATAAGCGAATGAAGAAACTCCTGTTACAGAAGTTTAGCGACGCCCGACAAGAGGCCAAGACGCAAAAAAGTATTTTGGGCACATACTTCATCACCTTTCGCCGAATCGCGGAATGGGTGCCGGCAGCGTGGCATCTCCTCCGACTCATTTCGTTCTTTGACCGTCAAAATATACCCGAGCGGCTCCTGCGAGACTGTAGTGTTGAAGGGATGGATGATTCGATTGAATTTCGTCTGGCTATTGGAAAACTATTGGGATTCTCATTGGTTACCGCCGTCGAACGTGGAGACAAGATATTCTATGAACTGCATCGCTTGGTCCAGCTCTCTGTACAGGCCTATTTATCAGAAGAATTGGATAAATGGAGTACCGCTGCGTTAGGAGTTATTTACCGAGTTTTCCCTGAATACGATCACGAGTTGCGGGATCTCTGCGAGGAATACCTTCCGCACGCGCTTGCCGTAACCAAAGGTAGAACGGACGCTATCACTGAAGACCTTTGTTTTCGCGTGGGAGAGTGTTTTCTATATTTGGGCTCTTACACCAAGGCAGAAGCGCAAGTCCTTCAATGTATCAGGCTTCGCAAGGAGCATAAAGAGCAAGGCTGGGGTATGGATCATAAGAGATCTATACTCCTGGGGCGGGTGCTCGCGTGCCAAGGAAAGGCCAGTAAGGCAAAGGCGGTACTTGAGACCGCACTGGAGGATCTGGGTCCAAATAGTCCTGACCGCTTTGAGTGCTTATCCTATCTGGCAACTGTGATGGGCGAGCTTGGAGAGTATGATGAATCGGAGAGGATGCATCGCCGCGCACTGGAGGGGCTAGAGGAGATTCATGGACTAGACCACCTAGACACCCTAATGAGTGTCAACAACTTGGCCGTCCTGCTCCAATACCGAGGAAAGTACGATGAATCTGAGAGGATGAATCGGCGCGCACTAGAGGGGCGCAAGAAGGCGCTTCCACAAGACCACCCCCAGACTCTATCAAGCCTCAGCAACCTGGCCGTCGTGCTACAGTGCAGAGGAAAGCTTGATGAATCAGAGACGATGAGTCGACGTGCCCTAGAGCTATCTAAAAAGACTCTTGCGCTAGATCACCCGGACTCATTAACCTGCGCCGGCAAACTAGCTTTTGTACTTCAGCGCCAAGGAAAGTACGATGAATCAGCGGAGCTCAATCTGTCTGTACTGAGCGGGTGTGAGAAGATCCTTGGACCAGCCCACCCTCACACTCTAACAACTGCCAATAACCTGGCTATCCTGCGGGGATACCAGGGAAAGTATGATGAGTCAGAGGCACTGCATCGGCATGCTCTGGAGGGCCTCAAGAAGGTTTGTGGACCGAACCACCCGGAAACCCTAACAAATCTCAACAACCTGGCCATTGCGCTGCAGTACCAAGGGAAGTACGATGAATCGGAGATGATAAGTCGACGTGCACTTGAGGGACGCCAGAATATTCTCGGACCAGAGCACCCAGATACCCTAACTAGTATCAACAGCCTGGCGATTGTGCTGGAATGCAAGGGGAAATACGATGAATCGGAAAAACTAAATCGCCATGCACTGGAGGTACGTGAGAGGGTTCTTGGAAAAGATCACCCTGACACCTTAACAAGTGTCAACAACCTGGCCATCCCGCTGCAGTTCAAAGAAAATTACAACGAATCAGAGAGGATGACACGGCGTGCACTGGAGGGGCGTGAGAGGATTTGGGGACGAGACCATCCGGACACCCTCGCAAGTCTCAACAACCTGGCCATTGTGCTGCAATACCAGAGAAACTACGGTGAATCAGAGAAGATAAATCGGGGCACACTGGAGGGGCGCGAGAAAATTCTTGGACGACACCATCCGGACACCCTCACAAGTCTCAACAACCTGGCTATTGTGCTAGATCTTCAAGGAAAGTACAATGAATCAGAGATAATGAATCGGCGTGCACTGGAGCGGCGTGGGGAGATTCTCGGATCAGACCACCAAGACACCCTAGCAACTCTCAACAACCTAGCCTTTGTGCTGCGATATCAAGGAAAGTATGATGAATCAGAGATGATGAATAGGCAAGTATTGGAGCGACGTAAGGAGACTCTCGGGCCTGACCACCTGGATACCCTAACAAGTGCCAACAACCTAGCTGTTGTTCTGGATTACCAAGGAAAGTACGACGAATCAGAGAAGATGCATCGCTCTGCACTAAAGGGGCGCGAGAAGGTCCTTGGGCCAGACCATCCACAAACCCTCGCGAGTGTCAACAACTTGGCTGTTGTGCTGCGGCACCAAGGAAAGTACGGCGAATCAGAGAAGATGGGTCGGCATATACTGGGGGTCTGCGACAGGGTCTCTGGACCAGATCACCCAGATACCCTAGCAACCGTCAACAACCTGGCTATCGTGCTAGAATACCAAGGAAAGTACGACGAATCTGAGGCGATGAACCGGCGCGCACTAAAGGGACACCGGAAGATTCTTGGGTCAGACCACCCCTCACACTCACAAGTCTCAACAACCTGGCTGTTGTGCTGCGGTGCCAAAGAAAGTACGACGAATCAGAGGTGACGAATCGACGTATACTAGAGGTGCGCGAGAAGGTTCTCGGACCAAATCACCCAGACACTCTAGTCAGTCTCGGCAACCTAGCTGTTGTACTTCAATACCAAGGAAAGTATAATGAATCAGAGACGATGAGGCGGTATGCACGGGATAGACTGCAAAAATCCCAGACCGGGAATAGCTACATTTTACGGGCCGTGTTGTCCCTTGTTCCCGAACCATTTCAGTCTTCGGCATGTGCGATAGTCTGACAAAGTGATTTATTATATCGCGGGCAGCAAGATGGACTAGGGGTAGTAGTAGTGGGCTTAGATTTTCTACCGGCGTGGGAGGCTCTAGGAATCTACTTGGAGCAACCGGGAAATTTTTGGAATTAACAGGAATTGTGAGCGAGAGGCGGTGGCGGGGTGTTGAAGCGTTGTTTACGATGAGCAAGGCATAGTTATCTATGAAGGATGTGTTGGGCTTTTTTTACATTTGTTTTACATTGTATTTCCTATTGTTTCTGGTCTATTTTAGAGGCGTATTTGTCTGTTTTTCATAGCGAATTATTTCATAGCGAATTATTCCATGTGGCCCCTCGCCCACTAATATTTTAGTGGGCACACTTTGTCCATCAATATCGTAAGAGGTCACTCGCTTGCACTCCTTCAGACTGATCGGCTCGAAGACACGATCGGGTTTACCACATGCCCTATCTTCCAACAGCGTTCCCGGCGACTTCCCCTGATGGTGCTGTGCATCCCTGTAGCCTCAGACCTTGAGAAAATATATAATATGATAGTGCCCTTGTTGTCTCTGCAGTTCGGCTAGGGGCGCCGGGCCAAATCCTCCCTTTGACCGGGCGGACTACCAATCACAATCCACCCATACACTGGGTTCAAACCGGCCGGGCTTTGGGCCAGATGCAAACGTTTTCTTCCTTCCGAGTGACCCAACATGATTGCCCCAATCCCGGGAGTCATCAGAACTTGAATGTCCATTGTCATAGGCCGTTGGATGTGTCAACACTTTCTACACATGGGCGCCTACAATGGGCGGTGTGTTGTCTATGCCGTGATTTTTTGTGGCTGTTGGGGTTGAACGATGCACGGGTGCAGATATTATAGTAGATTCAGAGCGTAAGCACATACTTGCCTAAACCTCTGCGCCCAACTAGATCATCAGGGTGAAGGGGGGGGGTATTTTGCGTTTCGGAATTACTTTTATGAAGCATGCTTGGTGAACCACGCTGCGGAGGGTGCTAGGAGGAAGTTTACAGGGAATTCTAGGCCCGGGGCGATCCCGGAGTGTTAGGGGAAAATGGCTTGGTAATCATACAGTAGTTGTTACCTTGAGAGTAATTTATTTACCGTACACTAAGAAGCAAGTCGAGTATTGTGGAATTCCGCATCCGCACGCTTTAAGCTCTTTGAACTTGTCGGAATGTTTTCTATTCTCTTTGCATCTTGGGCTTGCAACCGGCATAGCTAGCGTCAGGTATTGTATCATAAGTTATTGGCGGAAATTTGGAGATATTTGCAGATGCCGGTTGGTGCTTGAAGGTTAGGGTGGGTACCCTCAATATCTGCTTCCGATCGACAAAATACCGGCAGACCCCACCGCTTGTGCCGAGTCCTGCCTGGGCTGTTGGGCGTTCATAAAGCCCGTCTGGATTTTGGAAAAGTGGGGTCTACGAAGCCCCGGCGAATCCCACTTTGACCAGGGCCGGCAGCGCTGTACTCACGCACCTGCTGTCGGGCTACTCGCGGCTGGCCTAAGTTAACCGCTTGCGAACACGGGCTAAAAAAATTACCGTGAAAAGCCTTGCTCTCGCACATGACCTCTGAGAAATGTATGCTGAGGTGTGGAGGGTACTTGTACGTTGGCACGCGCTGGAAGGCAGTGCGACGGTAGCTGTTGGGTGGGAACCGCTTTTTGGGCTGTTCATCGCATATACGCTCATCGGCTGGAGTGGAAAGAAACTCATAGCGGTACCCCGGCAGCTATATAAAAAGAACTCCGCGATTCTTCGCTTTGATTAGTCAGCATCAACCACAAGCACCAAGCCACTTTAGCAGCCACCGGCGTATGCTACCGCTCCATTTCCCCACCCGACGAAATCTATGTCCGGGTAAGTTACCAGGAGATAGCATCGCACCGGTTCTCTCCTGCCAAGCAGCCGCGAATACTAAACACCCCCGACCTCTGATTCTCCACCGTACTGCGTTATCTAGCGAGAACCGGCAGACACTTTTATGTCGATATAAGAAGCGCCTAGGGGGGACTGACAATTGCATCAAAATCAGAGCCCCGAAAGGGTTTGCGCTGTTAATAAGGTGTTGGGGAGATGTCGTTTTATCGGGATTTCGAGGTAAGGTAAGGATAAAAATCTTATTTGAGCCCCGCCCGGTGCTAGCACCTGACAGTTTTCGCTAGACAATGCAGTATATTATCTACAGCCTCTGTTCGAAAAAATCGGGAAATCTAGAAATAAACCGTCCGTGCAAAGTCCGTGCAAAGTCAGTGCAAAGTACCAATTCCTATGTCTACCTCCTGTGCGCTTCCCTGTCAACCCTCCCCCCTGTTTCCCGATTTTTTCTACTAGGAGCTGTACTGGGCAGCTTATTGCCAACATTCCGCACTGGCATCCAACCGCGGTCCATGGCAGCGATGTCCCTGGTGGACCTGGTTGCGCTCTTCACCCCAGCCGTAGCTTTATAATATCACCGGCCTAAGACTTCCCATCCGGCAAACCTTAACTGGCATGACGGCGGTATTATCCTTGGTCAAATTGCTACTAGCACCTCCCCCTTTGGCTTGATACTCCTTCATATCCGTGGCAGCGACTCGGGCGAACCGTTACCCCTTGGCAATGGGAGTGTTGGGTGGTGGGGTGAGGAGGACGGATTTAAAGTAGTCTCGGGGTCTGACTGCGGGGCTCAGTAACTTAAGGGAGAAAAGAGACATGTTTTTCGTTGCTTAGTTTTTAGTTTAACCTACCGGTAGATCGCTTATCTTCAGCCTCCGTTCACGTGGCCGCCGCCGCCCCACCATTACCCTCGCCTTCTCGGGATTCTTCTTCTACTACCGGTAGATCTCTTTCTACACTCTTTTTTACCATGCGATTTTTAGCTATATCGTCAGGTCGATCCTCAGAGCCGACATACACAAACCTTGTTACCGAAAGATGCTATTGGGGGGGGGGGGGTACTCTGGTCCTGGTGAAACCAACAGGCTTCTGGTGTTCCCGTATAAGGACCAGAGGTGGTATCCTTAAGCTCGGAGTCCTACCAGCCGGTTTGCAAGAGATTCCCTAATACCCCAGGCGGACAATACCTCGGAGAGCATTAGAAAGCTAATGATACGAGAAAAGCAGTAACAGCCCTAAACGAGCATTATCGTAGGAGGAGCAGATTGTAAATGAACCGAACGATTTGCACAGTTTTTCTCGTACGAAAGTAGAGATTT